TTTGAATCAAGATTGAGGAATACTTCGTATGACTATAATTAAAATATCGAATTCTCAGATTCTCAGGATTCTATGAAATCGCTTGTAAAGACTTAACAACGAGTGTACCTTATTAAAAAGAATAATCGACTATAATAGTCGATTATATTTTGGTAAATGTAAATAAAAAAACAGTACAATTAGTTTAGCGAAGATTAAGCAACGACGTTGTTCGAGAAAATTAATTGAACCTAGTCACGTGAATCTGGTGCCTTTACCGAGTGAATACTACCATTACGTTGGAAATTATAAAAGTTTCTCAAGGAAAAACAAGCTAACTGCACGGTGTTCTCCACGCGAACATGATGGCGGGTGGAAATTTTAATAGACGACCGAAAATAACCATGCATAACGAACCGGTATTCCAGTCGCGGCGTGTTTAACGTTCAAAACTGCTGTTAAGATTCCTGGAAGCATTCCCGATGTCGGTATAACGAGCATACTTCTTTCTGCGTCACGGTGAAAAGCGACGCGTGAAAAGTATAAATCGCGAATGCTGCTCAAGAAACGTTTCTTTCTTTATCTTTCTGAATCGAACGGAGAAAGGTATTGGTCACTTTCGATATCCGTGAGAACGACATTCGCACGAACGGCTACGCGATTCCGCGATCGTTCGAAGGCGAATTTCTGTGTCACGATCACGAGTAATCCGGATACGCGTGCACAGGTCTGATACATTCCTCAGTCATCGAATACCTACTAATTCAAGGCCGGTCGGTTCTCAGAGCCAGAGGTCCTTGATCGGTTTTGCAATGATCGCGCGTATCCGTGAAAGCGAATTTGCGCACTGGATGCTTTTTCACGGGTACCATTATATCTAAAGATTCATTCATGATGATTTTCTTGCGATACTTAGCCTTATATTATTCTACGAATTGAATTGCAAAAACTTCAAAACACGAGCATGCCATATGATAAAAGATACGTGGTATCAGAAAAAATTCACAAGCATCTTCTTCTCAATCTAGCCTAACGTTACACACCCTAAACGTCCAATAAAAGTTGCTGACCTTAGTCGTTCAATCGATCCAGTGATAGCTTGCAACCTTGCACACCGTCAAGTAACTTATGCTGGTTATCAGGCGTATGCAAACAAATTTCCAATAAAGAAAGTTTCTATCTGGTTTTCTGCGAGTCTCGAGCTGATATACAACAATAGAAAAAGGGGCGACGAAGAATTAAAACCTCTATATGGAAATCATTTTGCTGTGAACAGTGACCTGTTGACCTGGCCACCAAAGTGCGGCGATGCAGTGCGTTTCTTTCGTGTAAACTGTGCATTTCTAACCTTTAGAACACGGAAAAGTTCTGTGGAATTCGTCGCGGCAATTGGGACGTATTGTTGAGAATTGACAAGGAGAGTTGTTGTGTTGGTGGGAGCAGCGATAAGTTGATGTCACGCGAGGATATTCAAAACGATTAAAAAGAGAATTCAGACTAGAATTCAGTTACTTTTATATTTCTTTTAATAAAATCGCTAGAAATGTGTACTCGTTTCATTCGTGAGAACGTTAAATTGTAATGGATGAAAAATATACATAGGCATCATCTGGATCGTATAAAACCAACCAGTTTCAAAAGTTAGTTTTCGTTAGTATCATTGCGTTATCTCACGTTATCGGTTTCTAACGATTAATTTAAGCACAGCAGATGACAAATTACCGGGCAGATAAATAGTATAAATAACAGTAACCAGCGTAGGACGGCGTGTAAGATTAAACGAGGTGAGAATAACAAGATGTTAAGAAACAAAGTATTATGCAACAATGTATAATTTTTTCGCAACGCCAATCGTAATAAATAAGGAATTTAGATGCGTGTCTTAACAAACGAGCAGCTGAATCTTATGAATGAATAAGCATTGACGTTGAAACGATGCGATGCATTAACCTTCCTTAATTATTTTCAAGATTGTTTCGTAGTACATTGCTGAATATTTTTAGAAACATAATCGTTTCTAACCATCGATCGAATTCATACGTATTATTGAATGAAACAGATAATATAATACTTGCGTTATTGCCTCACGTTACAACGTAATAAATCGTTTGTATGCTGGAAGAAGCCAAACAGTGTCATTCTCGAGTATAGGTAGATACGTATACGTAGTTAGCTGAAGTTCAAGTAACCTATAAAAAGTTGCGTTTATAATTAATAACATGCTCGTTTACCTTGACCCGCGAAGATTGGAAACGCGGCTGAATAAATCGTTTATGATTTTGAGGATCCATAAAAACAATCATTCTTCTTGTTCTTTTTTTTTTCTTTTTATGCTCGATTCATCATCGACACAAATAACAGTTGTGTTTACACGGTACGTTGCACGGAAATTGCGCGTTCAAATATTGATAGTATGAAAATTGATTAAAATAAGCGGAAATAATAAAGTTTGGTATAGGCTAAAGCTGTTTGGTTAGATGCGTTTACATGGCCTTTAGATATTTAATTACTGCAGATCAGTCGGCGCAGTATCGATCCAATGCTCAGACGCCCTCCCCGACAATTTCAAATTTCTCGTTCAGCGAGATAAACGAACGTGAAAATAAAACAGTATATGTGATTAAATGACAAATATCTAAGAGCTACGAATACCAAATATCGTGGACGTTTTGGTCGAAATGTATTTATTCTTCATGGAAATGTATAAACATCGTAGTTTTTAGTGAATTTTTTGCGTGTTTCGTTGTTAGAAATACAATTAGGTAATTTTCGATTTAACTAGCCGTGGAATTTGTAAACTTGTCCGTCGAAGCTTTAATAAAGTTATCTAGTCTGCCTCGTAACTCTTAGCAAGTTGCTGCGCTTGCCACGCAGTTTAAACGACCACGTCCCGCCCTTTGTGTATCGTCGCATAGGTACATGCAAATACGCATGCATGTTCCTCATAATAACTAATAAATTCTGCAATTTAGTATGCCGGGACGTCTATTACCTCTTTGCGCCCTCGTTCGGTGCACGTGCACACAGTATCATCGTGATCGTGATGCAAATTTGCGGCGTCAAAGCGAAGGAAAAACTTTTAGACGAAAAATTGCGATGTTAACGCGTAATTTTCCTGTTGTTTTTTCTTTTTTTCGAAGCGCGCGCGCGATGCGCTCGTATCTTTTCAATTCGTCCACGTTACGCTTCGATAAATAACTCGCTGCTAATTGTGACGCATCTGCCAACAGAATTTGTTATATCAAACACAACAAAGGAGACAGCGATTTAATGTAACTCGGCGCGGTATAATTAAATTCTAGAGGTTCGGACAACTTTTATCCTGAAAAAATCTCGCCTCTGATAATTCTGCAAACCTTTTACAATCACAGCAAAGAATGGAGACAAGGAAGAGATTACAGAAATTATTCAAACGATAGTCGCGAATATGATCACACTTTCACGAATGATTTCGTCTCAGGGACTGTAGAATAGGATGCTGATAGAAATATGTTTCGAGCGTTCCCACGTGAAGCGTGCTCAAGTTGATTGCTTCGGTGGCTCGGTCACGTTTACAAGTTCGTTTCAGGTATGATGAATTTATGCTCGTGACGTAATTAGTATGAACTCGTACGAGCGTGTCATTCGAAAATGACACTTGGCCCGCTGGATTTCCATCATTTATGCGGATTGAGCCAACGCAATTACGTGATTACAACATGCGAAATTGGTTACAGTTAAGTGACGTACCAAAATTGTAGACGGACGTGTATCGCAAATCGGAAAAAGGTTCCATTACGGTTCTAATGCGTTCCGGAAAATATAAATATGTACGCGTACAGCGTCTGTACGTTCTACCGTCAAATTTACAACTTGCTTTTCAGCTTGATTTATGTTTGAAAGCAACGAACTATTTTTAAGTTCGAGTCCAAGTACATCTCGCGTGGAAATCGCGATTAAGAATAGAAAATTCATTTTGTCGCTCGCGTGAAGACCAGTTCACGAATTCTCTTTTGTTTCTGTCCGACAGTAACCTCTATCGATTTTATATCGATTAAAAGAACACCGTTCTCCCTTTTCGGGAAATACTTCAAAAATCTGTCCGTTCGTGGAGGGTCCAAACGTTTCAAAGGCTTTCAAAGCAAAATATTTTTTTCAGAATGGAAATGGAACGTTGAACCATGGTGAAATTGATTTTGCCTCGATTGGTAATCGAGTGAAACTGATGGCTTATCGGTTTTGTTGTTTTTCCAGCGCCAGCGACGTTCGCGTTTTTCCGCTCGGCACTAATCTCGTTTCTGTCGCGAGCTCCAGTTGCTCGTCTATTGAATTGTGCAGCGACCTTAAAGAAGAAGAGATTCTCCTCCCTGTCACCTTTACCAAGATTTCACGAAACCTTAACGTTTCATTTGAATATTCCTACAATTTACAAGCTTCTGATGCACGATCCTTCCATAGGTAACGATTTTTCTAAAACTAAAACAATTGTCTCGTATCAGTAAGGCGAGTATACGATGAATAACACAAATGAAATTATTCTATCCTTCGAAACGCGATCAGCTCTAGGCGTCAGGACGTCGTCAGCTGAAAAGCACAATTCTGAAGGTTTGGTTATCGATGTTAAACAGCTACGTTCCATTTTCTGACGTCTGTTGCGTCAGAAACACGTAACGTGTATACGGTCAGTCCTTTGCATCGGTCACGTGCTATAGAATGTGTTTGAATCAACGGTCGTTTAATCCTACCCAGTCTTAAATTTGTCATACGATTGTACCGTAATAATCTTCCGTCGAGTGGCTGAAAAGCTGAAACGCATGCACCACGTTCGTCGCAAATTCTTGATTCCCGTATTATTTCGTTTTCATTCCCGATCTACGTAATATTTCTATTCTGTTTGTATTTTATACGTCTAACGGTGCGCCAAAGAACTGAAATTACGAATACCATCATATTACTATATATCCTTCGAATATTATTCCGTTATTAAACTTCCCACGTTACGACATACGAAAGAGCTGGAATGGTAATGAAATACCAAACAGCGTCGGAATAACGATTTCTGTTTCCTGGAAAAGCGAATATTCATCGTTGCGACTTACGACAGCATCCTTACGTGGATCGTAACAGTCACGGACTCTATTCTCTATATGCTCGCATGCACCAACGAGCACAGATCGTTCTTTAGATCGCGTTAAGAATTACACGAGCGTCGATTGAAATTGACATCCATTTGTCAAGGCCCGTCTAGTCTGTGCTCGACGCTCACCAGGATTGCAGGGCTCGTTACTGAAAAGCTACTATTCTAGCGATCTTGGTGCTTGATCCATTTCTCCGTTTACTATCAAACCCGCGAACAGTGAACAGTGGTGCTTTAGAAAATAAAGCGGCCGATCGTCATTGCGCTAACGCAAGTCATGTTAGTGAGTTATACGAGAATCAAAATATTCGATAGCAGGTTCGTGGAACGTGAAATCAGCTAAAGTGAGTAGCTGACAATCGAATTATTCGATGATTTCAACGGAGTGTTCATTCTGAAAAACGACTAGTCAGTCGCGTTCTCGCGATTAGATTATTGTTTATCGCGCTGGCGTAGCGAGTTTTTGCCGGATAAAGGAAGAACCGAGAAAGCACCTGCGTAAAAAATAACCACCGTACCACCAAATATGGCAAAGGTGAAGACACCTACTTTTACGAGCACGTTCTGCGAGCTAATGCACGCACGAATCATTAATTACGATAAGCGCCATTGTTTAATATTATCATCGCGTCGATTTATCACGCCAATTCATCGGATCTTTCTTTGAATCCAATCGCGATACTTTCAAAATTCATTGTTAACTGAGCTTGAAACTTCAAAATATCTCGTCATTGACAGTCACGATCACGTCTTTCGGATTATCGGTCGGTTGTTTAGCGCGTCTTTTAACGCTACCGACAATGCTGTTACTCAAGACTTTCCAGACTTAAAATCCTCCTTAGACTATTCTAGGCGAGTTTGTTAAGCTTCTTAAATCTATAGCAAGAGCTCGCGGAAACTTCGAAAGTTGCCAATTGTCTATATCGATAATGTCTCAACCAATTCGAGCCGTCATGTCGAATCGCTTAGCGATTAGCCAAGAAAGAAGAATCAAAATTTTGTCTCAGGCATAATGAAAGTAGTGCCAAAAGTTTGTCAATTCGTCGAAGATTCGCTGGGCGAGAAGATATCGTGATTTTGACCGGTTCTTCGTCAAGAAGAACAAACAAAATCTACATCATCTATATTCTCTTTTGATAGCAACTGCTTTTTTAACTTTCTTCTTCTCTCTTCGCCTTTCTTTTTCTCCTCTATCTCTGGCCGTTTTCTTTGACGATGGCTCGATCAAAGAGCTGTTTTACGCGCGCATACGTGCGCCGTTCTCAAAGAACGATGACGAACGTCCTTTTTGGCGTGCATTACAGTATGCACTGGCTTTGTCGATTCACAATGCGTGCGAGTTGCGTGTTGAAGCACAGGGGAATGTCAGTGCCGTACAAGAGCACCGAGACTTGAAAACGACGGCTATACTTCTGAAAATTTGCCAGCACCGAGTTCTCGTTCCTAGAGAACGATAAGAGATATTGGGATGCAAGTTTACGAAGGTTAGAACGACTTTCGCAATTATAAAATAAATCGTGATTGATGGACAAACAATAGTAATCGTAAATCGATCGAGGATGTTGAATTGTAAATGTTAGGCAAGCGTGAAAGATGTCAGTTTTAGTATTTTAAAGGATAGTACTTTGGTCCTACTTTATATTTGAAAAATTCGCGTCAAACTTTTTACGAGTCGAAGAAACGTAAAATTTATAATTCCGACTTGGAGCAATTTCTTCCCAATCGATGCTACGGAATATCCTATGATCTAATGCTTTTGAGATTTTTTATCCTTAATGTTCGATTTTTTCATTTGCAGTGGGATAGTTCGGAATCCGAGTATTCGGAGTCTGAGGAGTCAAATGAGTTAGGGGCCATCGTAAGCCCCGATACCTGCGCGATGGACACTGTGGACAGTACCAGCAAGCGGCAAGCTACTCGTGTCTTCAAGAAGTCCAGCGTCAACGGAAAGATCGCGGTATACCTTGGGAAGAGAGATTTCGTCGATCACATAACTCACGTCGATCCTATCGGTAAGACACAGAGACCCTTGTTGAGCTGTAAGGTTTCAAAGCACTTGTTTCTTCTTCGTACCTGATTACCATCATTAGCCATCTACCTGTTGAGTCACTAAAGCGATCGATGTTCTTTCTCCCTCGAACATGAAACATTGTCTCAAGTAGAGAAACATCGGTATGTTTAGCGTATTGTTCTATCTCTTTAACGTTGATCCAATTATTCGAGTGTAGCTATTTGCAGCTATTTGACAGTGAAACATCGTTAACATAGCTTGAAAGGCTGCTAACGGCGAAGATTGGAAAATTCGATTTACTTAAACGACCAGTTAATCTTGAACGTCAAGGCCACTTAAGCCTGTGCTCATCGATCGCTGTTCGATCGTTACAGACGGGGTCGTGCTGATTGACCCAGACTACGTGAAGGATCGCAAGGTCTTTGGCCATGTTCTAGCCGCGTTCAAGTATGGCAGGGAGGATCTAGACGTTCTAGGATTGACGTTTCGCAAAGACCTCTATTTAGACGCCGAACAAATCTATCCGGTGGTACCTGGTGCCAAGCAGAGAAAGCTGACACGGTTGCAGGAGAAGCTGATTAAGAAATTAGGAAGCAACGCATATCCGTTTTACTTCGAACTTCCGCCTCATTGTCCTGCATCAGTGACGCTACAACCAGCGCCCTGCGAAACTGGAAAACCATGTGGCGTCGACTACGAATTAAAAGCATTCGTAGGTGAGACGCTGGACGACAAACCGCAGAAACGGTACGAGCCTCGATTATCGCGATCGTCAGGAGAACGTTTACGGCCACGCGATTTCTCTACCCTCGCTTCTAAATCGATTTTTAGCCGACATGGGACTGACCGTCGACGTGCTCGTTTCTTTTATCCCTTTTGCGGTGGAACGTTTCAACAGACACGAATATCATGTAAATACGTTTCGCAATGTATTATCTGTGGCTGCTTTCTTACGATGAAGATAGATATACGCGCCTTTTCAAAGAAATTGATTCATTGTTAAAGAGATGTATCGTAGTTAGTTTTATACGACAAAGAAGCGAGATCTTTTCTCAGTTTTATATCAATTCAATCGAAGTATCGTTTAATCTTTCAACTGACTCAAAGGAAAATAGTAAACTAGTAAATAACCATAGAGATCTTGTCGCCTCGTATAACAGAATTTTCGAAATCTCGTTATTTATTGTACGACTCGAGCCGCAGAGTATCGCAGCGTGGGTTAACGGTTTGCAAGCCGGTTGACAGCAATGAATCATCATGTTGTAGAAGCTCGGTGCGACTGGCTATACGGAAGATTATGTACGCGCCGTCGAAACAAGGCGAACAACCTTCCGTCGAGGTGAGCAAAGAGTTCGTTATGTCGCCGAACAAGCTTCACTTGGAGGCGTCACTGGACAAGGAGTTATACCATCACGGTGAGAATATTGCCGTGAACGTGCATATAGCAAACAGCAGCAACCGGACGGTGAAAAGGATCAAAGTGTCCGTGAGGCAATTCGCGGACATTTGTCTGTTTTCCACCGCGCAGTACAAGTGCACGGTCGCCGAGGCAGAGAGCGAGTGAGTATCATTCATTGCACGCCATTCTTCTCCATGAACATGCGTCAGAACGCGAAACATACTCGCTGTGAAAGTATGGCAACAAATGGATCCGTATGCAACGTTACGAACGAAAGTAGAGACGCAAGTTGTAAATACGCTTGCACTGATAGTCGTATTGTTTGCCAACTGATGAAACATTCTCGTTATTATGTGGTGACACGGTCATTCACAGGAGAAATTTTAGTCATAACTTCGAGATTTATTTTGCTGCGAGAATTACAGTTTACGTTCCCATGTTTACGGTGATTATTGTTAGAATTCTCGAATAAAACTATTTATTGCCTAGCTTTCACAACAATTCCCAGAAGCGCCTGTTAGCGCGAATACTACGTAATCGCAATAGTTGAATAAATTTCTGTTGACGTTAGACGAAACTAAGTCTCGTGTCTGGTCACGATTGACGTCGATAGACTGCTCGAAGACATTTTATGTTTCGAGCTGTTCGATGTCCTTAAATAGCAACCAGCTGGTCTATATACCACCGCGTCGTAGTCACTGCGAAATTTACGAGTAACACATTCTGCGGCGTGACCAGGCACGAGCTACTCAAGATCTATCGACGCAGATGCAGGAAGACATAAATTACATTGCGTTCGGATAAATTTCAATGGTACGCGCGAATTTATGTCGCACGTGATAGTTCGTATCAACGATGCCTTGTACTGGTTTCTGCGCGTCCCTTATCGGAGAAATACGAATTTCCAGTCTAATTGTATCCATCGTAAAATAAATCTCACTTACTACAATAGAGCTACAAAAATTGACTCGGACGTTCGTCTTTCTTCGAAAATGATCGATAGCAGAATTGGAGGTACACTTTCGGTAAAAGTAAAGGAAAGGAGAGGTGCACTGCACAAGACTGTTTCGATTAATATTAACGATAGGTGTGTACTTATACGTAGCGAAACGCGATAAATGTCGAAAGGAATTATAACATGACGAAACGGAAAATAAAATGATTGCACTGGCAGTATAGGGGTATCGCCAGGATTCACTCTGAGCAAGGTCTTTTCTCTAAAACCAACGCTTGCTGACAACAAAGACAAGCGAGGTCTTGCTCTAGACGGCCAACTTAAGCACGAGGACACCAATCTCGCATCTAGTACAATGTGAGTGTTCAAACATCGGCCGGCTACAATTTTCCTCCGAAGCGAACGTTCGCGGCTGAAGACTGGAAACGGGCCAAATAATTCTGGAAAACTTTCGCGAATAGCTTGCCTGAGATTTGCTTTAAAGTTTGAGATCGATTGCGGGGATCGCGTGTTATCGGTTAAAAAAGTAATAAATAGTCTGGAATATTAAATATTTTTCGTGGCTGGTTTCTAACTTTAAAGTGGGTGTATTTCTGTATTATGTTACACGTTTCTCGGTAATCGATACTCGAGATAATTTGTCAGTAAATGAACAAGCTGTTTCAGGCCTTAACTTTTAATTATTTAAACAGCAGATACGCGATAATAAAGTAATTATATACGCATCGGAATATATTTAATTTGCCTCAAAGCCTGTTTGCAGTCTTCGCGGACGATCATATCGTTAAAAATCGAAGTACGATATTGTATGGGAATACTATTTCAAAGTGGAATGCCAGTATTTTCCTTCGTGGCCTTTTTGCTGGGCACTTTTTATGAATATGGAATTCCATCGGTGGTGGTCTATTTTGCTGTACAGGGGACACGTTCCTCTTTCTCCGTTTCTCTATCTCTCTAACCCTTTCCTAACCTTTCGTTTTTACTTTATTTTCTGTTATCTCCACGTCTGTGTCTTTCCACAAATAATACGTTGATCGATCGAAATACCCATTCTTTCTTTCTTTCTTTCTTTCTTTCTTTCTTGCTCTTCTTTTCTCCCCTGTATATCCATGTAGTCTGTATTGCAGTGTGACGCACAAGCTGAAGTTTCGCGTTTCATACACACAGAAAAATATATTCATTCGCGAGTATAGTCAAAATCGTCACAGTCCGCGTGTCACGTAGCTTATTATCGTTGCTCTGTCTCTGTCGAGATTGAAGTATCGCTTGCCTCTCGTGACCGAGCTTTCAAATTATGGAATCTTTCGCTATATCGAAGCTCGAGGGTAGCAGTTCTATATCGTTCTGATGATGCTACACGTCACTGGAGAGTCACCGAGAGTCGCTTTTGCGATATTGAAGTACATCTCCGTGTCGCGCACACAGCCGCTGTTTCGTTCGAACTTCTCCTATTTCCGATCTTTTCGAACTACTGCTTGTCCTCATATTATTTACGAGTTTCGTTGGCTTTTGTCGAATAAGAAAAATAGAATCTGTGTTATAAGTTTTGTAAGGGTTCGTCGGTATTTCTCAAAGCTCAGTTTCAAAGCCACGTCTGCGGCCAAAAGAGAGAGGATTGGTAGGCAGCTTGTTCGTGTGTCTCGAGCAAACGTCAGGCTCGATGTAATCAAATTTAAATATCAAATGCAATTATTTGCACGTCACGATTCCAATCAACCAAATAGGAAAGAACGTAATTCATACATTATTTCCATCGAATGTTTAGCAATTTGCCATCGATTATATTTGGACGGATTAAATAATGATAATTCTTTCTGTACTCTTGAAGCTACACACCTAAATCAACGTCGAATTTTATCTGACTATCAATCGTGTATCGATCTAGATATGCACGATCGAGTCGACGATTTCAACGAGGATGTCAACGCCTAATTGCTGCTCGCAAGCAGTTTCAGAAACAAGTCAGTGTCGCATTCTTTGACAAAGCGTCGCAAGACAAACGAGAAACGCGTACACTCAAAGTACCTCGCAGAAACCAATTTCGCGCACGGTTATCAGCGAATTTTTTACTCCGGAATTTCGATTTGATCCGGATATATTAGGCTTCGTGGCACGTTTACCTTCACTCTTCTGCTACATGTTTATCAGGGAGGGGTGCCTAGTGGGGCCAGGTTTCACGCTGAGCAAAGTGTTCTCTCTGAAACCGCTTCTCGCCAACAACAAAGATAAATGGGGGCTTGCCCTCGATGGCCAGATCAAAGACGAGGACACCAATCTGGCGTCCAGCACCCTGTAAGAAAACCGCTGCTTGTCCATGGACAACACATGCCTGAATATATACGTATATATATACAGGACTGCTCAAAAGTTTGGGTGACGAGCTACTTCAATTTTCTGCATTCTTATTTCGTAATTCCAAGATTATATTTTAAACATCGTTTCATCATTTTAAGCAGCATTGCGTAGTTCTATGTACTTCTGCTTAAGATATTTAGTTAGTTTCATCGGATACTATCGTATTCTCCTTCGTTTAAATCTATCCTTTGACAATGCCAATCTACCCAAGCTTTTGATCGGTACTGATTGTACGTGCCTCTGTTTCTCTCTCTTTCTCTTTCTCTCTCTTACTCTTTTTCTCTCTCTTTTTCTATCTCTATGAGCATCATGAAGGACTGATCACGCGTGCAATCACGACTTCTCTATTCACAAAGCTGCCTATGCCCAAAATCATGAATACGCGCCGACGTGTTTCGGTATTTTTATATTTTATTGAAGGAATAAAGATCTTTCGTTTAATTTAAGACACACAGAATGGAAAAGTTAGGTTTTATCCTCGGACTACCATTCGCATCATTCAGCTTTCAACGGCAAGCATTAAAAGGCTTGGATCCTTTCCCTTTTGTCTTTTTATGTTTCAGACGCGATGAGAACCTTAAATTGAACAGCTGGGCTGCGTTTTATCTGTCTCATTTTACCTTTCCCTTTGAAGCTCGCTTCACAAGACTCGTGTAGCATTCGTGGCTCGAGCTTGCCGGTTCTTAGTGTAAACCGTGTTTATTATTTGTAAACCAGCGTTCCGTAAGCATTGCGGTTAGTTAGTTAGCCCCATCAGTGTCTTACAGCTGTCATCACTGATTGGCGATTAATCCCTGACGGAGTTGGTGAATGATAGTTTTTCAAATCGATAGAACCATTTACATATATAGTTTACAATTCTTCGTTGTTCAGATAATTTAATTTTTTACCAGCGACCAAACTTCCAACACCCACGCGCTTTCACAAGATGAATCATACGCGATAAAATACGGGACTTCGAATTATCGTTACGGACAAGAAAAGGCGAGATAGTATCCTTTTCTTTCCGACTTTCTGCTATCTCCGATCATGTTTCTTTCGATATCGGTGCACTGAAAATAATTGGAAGCTCAATAACTTTCAAATTAGGACAAAATATTGCCATGTTATATATACGAGATTTTACGATCCTCCTATCGAGCTTGCATCGTGTTGGTTCGCCAATACTTTCAATCATTCTGTACGTTATGTTTTGCCCGATCGAAAATAGCGATGCGTTGCCTATTCGCTTTCATCATATACGCGCGCGTCTTCCGCTCCCGGGTTATATATTCAGAAACGAAACGTACGTTTTTCTTTCGTATTGCGGATTGATCCGATCGCGTTTCGCCCTCCTTCGCTTCACATAAAATCTGCTATCGTCTTGCAGAGCCCCTAACTTTCTTTCCATAAAAACGCTGTAATTATACCTCGCGTTCCTCGCTTTGAACGAAACGAAATAAAATTCTCGCTCCGTTACAAAATACACGCGCGAGACTCCCATTAGTTTCGAAACTCGACAGTAGAAATTTTTGCGTAATTTTAATTGCAGGAGCGTACGAAAAAAAATTTCATCTCGAAAATATTTTGCTTCGTTGAAAAATTAAAAATTATTTAACGTACTTCATACTCGACTTTTGATACTGCAACTTAACGAAACCTTAAAAGTAGCAAGTAATGTAGCAAGAAATCGCTGAACGAAGAGCACTTGTTCCATTATGTCAAGTACTTGAGAAGGTACTTTCCAACCTTTAAATAATGTAATACCTTTCGTTGAACGCGAGCCTTCAGTGCAACGATCAACGACACTCGATGTCTCCTTTGTTTTTTGTTTCCGTATATCTAATCTTTTATTCGAAAAAAAAAGGTTGGCTTCGTTCGATGCACTTTATCCTTCACAATTTTGATTTAAAAGATAGATCGCAAATTGGACGATTTACAACCTGAAATTACAGTGTACATCGTACAGAAAGAGCAAACTGCACTTTCCTGTCAAATAATTGCATCTGCATTGTTATTTTCGATAAGCTAATGAAGACGCAACGTGACGATAATTACAGGCAATTATGCAAATAATCGTGGGCAATTCGCGATAATGGCCAACCATCACTTTACAGAACGACAGGCGAGAAGTCGTGAACAGCATCGTGCCTGTTCTATCGTGCTCAATCGTGTTTTCGATGATTTCCCTCTGTGAGAAATGAGTTGGCTGATTGGCGATGTAGCGGATTGGTACCTTTTAGTACAGATCGCGGGATGAGATTTAGGCGTTGCGTTTAGCTGCTTCATTAGAGCATTAGTACGTATTTTTCAACACGATCTCGTGTACGTTGCAACCGGAAGTGAATATACTTGGTTGGTTGAATCGATCATGAATCGTAGATTCGACGAAATTTCCAACTTAAGACGCTAGAAACGCATTAGAGAATCGATTTTGCTTCGTCGACACTGCTGCAAATCCTGAACACTGTCATTAGTGAAAACACGTAACGAAAACCAACGAATGAGTGCGGTGGAAGCTAAACGCTTTCGAATGTTTGCTTCGGATTTTTGTAATCTTGAAACAACTCTCGATACTTCGATCATTCTATGGAATTCTGTGTTATAGTCTTACTTCAACCGCACTATTCGCATTAAATCGTACGAACTCCTGACGTGTAAGCGGTCATGCTTGAAAACGAAATCGATACCCTGTCCCCCTGCTTCTTTTTGTCTGAATGATCGCTTTGCACTTACTACTTTCAGACTGCATGATACTTTGCTCGTTCTGAGATCTTCCTTTACGACTTCAAGATACGAAGACTAATCCTATCCCGTCTATTACCTCTACAATATTCTCGCGCTATTGTTCGTTAGAATATTCCTTCGAGCTAAATGTTTACCGCTTTTTGGTGAATTCAAGCTGCTCCGTTAACTACGCATGTCCGGTTTGATAAAAATCTGCAGCCAAAAGATTACTAGAAATTGACGAACTTCGTACCGTTTCGCAGTGTGGTGGATCCCTCGCAACGTGAAAACCTTGGAATTATCGTCCAGTACAAAGTGAAAGTAAAGCTCTGCCTTGGTCCTCTTGGGGGGTAAGTTCAAATGAAAGAAATTCGTTTTGACGACAAACTGGTTTGGAGAAACGTAACAGGCAACCAGAAGATCAGGATAGTTTCCGCTATCTTTAATATTTCTCCAATCCAACGTTGTCGCAATTAATATCAATTTATATCAATGTACGTATTCATAACGCGAGCCCGAGTCGTCAGGAAATGAAACGGAGAATTTAATTTATGTTGTTAACAGCGAATTAGTGGCGGAACTGCCGTTCATCTTGATGCATCCGAAACCGGAAGAAGAGGAACCAGCGCCACCCACTGCACGGCCTAGTCCGACGAATAAGGCAGATGGTGGCGAGATACCGCTTGACACGAATCTGATTCAATTGGACACGTACGTGATCAATATTTCAATAACGATTTGGAGCTATTCTCGTCAGTCGGAGACCATTTCGGCGAAATCATTGACGCACATGCGACTGTCAACTCGTTACTTATTCCATGCCGCAAAATTAGTAGATGTTTTGCATACAGAAAGCTTTTCATCTAGAGATTATAGGGTTTTCTTCGATTTTAGAGTTTCTGAAATTCTCCCCGTTTCGCTTCAGGGAGGCGGACTGCGACGATGACATAATCTTCGAGGACTTTGCCCGTCTTAGGCTCAAAGGTGAGCCGGATGCCTGACTACGTGGTTCCAAGTCAATCTACCTGTTCGAGACGACTAAATGTCTCATGGCGGGCAGCAATCGCCGAAAAATCGAAAACGTCCGTGAACTTCATCGTGAAGATCGACCATCCTTGCTCTAAGTCCTCGTTAGGATCAGTCACGGATAAAGTTTTTCGCATCGTTGGACAGACCGATCACTGGAATAACATTACCTTTTCTTTCGATGCTCGACGAAGGAATTCGTTCGCGAACCGTGTGGTCAGTTCATCGTAAATTTCTATTTGACACGGGATAACACATCCGGAATGGTACTAATCATCGCACAGAGAACTATATGCACTTCGAGAAACTCATCAGAGGAACAAGAAAAACTTGAAATATTTCCAATCGATTACGTCGACAAGATAAAAAGAGAAGTATATCTTTACGTTTTGACACGTTTCGTTTGTAACGAAAAATGATAAGGCATCAAAGACTGAATGCATCGTCGAAAAGGTTATCCCATAAAACAATCATATTTATTAGTAGCAAGAGGCGAGTACATCTTTTTCTTTAAAAATGGGTCCTTGGGACACAGTCTTCGACGAAACTACAAATACGATGTTTCTGTAATTTTAATCGTATGGCCAGTATGTAGAATTCATTCTATCAATCGCAGATACCTTTTACACGTACGTTTCTATGCCAGTCAACAGAAACGTTTGTTTCCGGATCTCTCGGTGAAGAGAGTTTGGTCATCTTCGTCGCAGCAAACATGTAAATTGTTATAAACTTCGTTTCCGTATTATTATATTAATTTGTTTTAGCGGAAATCTTTGAATCCTTGAAAGTAAGATGCAAGGTATGTTTTGTTCTAAAATCAAGTTCTGTTATATTCTATATCTAAAAATAAGAGAAATAGATTCCTTCCACTATCTTTTCGATTCGTACTGTTTGGTACTTTTAATTTTGAATTTGTGTTTAATAACATTTATCAAAAATAATGGCAATGTTCGGTTTCTTTTTCCTATACTATGTTCATCTATACAATAACGCATTATTTAAAAAAAATACAGCTTCTTGTCGTACAAACAAATATATTGCAGTAAAAAATGTAACTTTCAAGAACTATTATTCCTCGATAAACGGTAAAATTAACCTTTTTCACTTCAAAGCACGTAATAGTTTTAACTATAAAAACCTGAGCCATCGTGGCCTCGAATATGTCAAGTGAATTCTCGTCTCGGGACATTTCTGAATCTTTACAACGTTGACCGAGCGAGGAGTATCTATCAGACTATTGCACGTCAACTGAAAATGCGAATTAAATAACAATAATCTATGTGGGATAATGTATTACGTTGATCGTTAAATATATCTTCGTATTCGACGTTATATACATAGTTATCGAAGTTCTTCAATAGAGAATGGTTTTTTCGAATAGTTAAGTCGCTTGGATTTTTAATGGAATCGCATTGGATTTCCTTGGAAGACATCGCAACAAATTCAACGAATCCTATTTAAACGTTACATATAAAAAAAAAAGAATATATATAAAGATAGATAAATATACTCACGAACACACGTATTATACATACGTATACAAACTTTGCATTACACGCTTAACGGTAAATTAACCAAGGGTTTAAAAAAAAAAAAAAGAGAATTAAGTAAATTTCAGCAGTTTAGCTTTTACACGTTTATACCGACATCGAGAAAGTATCGGATTTTTTGCGACACACTATTAATCGTACGATTTTTCTATTCCTTTTTTATGTATCGAGTTTTTTACCGAAACGAAACATTCTAGTGCCATCTTGACTATTTGGATTATACCGTCGAAAAATTCATTTCTTTGCGAACAGATTCAAATCGATCCAGTTCGTTACTTGCATCGTTTACAAAGACTGTTATGCGAAGTTGAATCGCCCGTTTCCCTAATAGGGAGAGTATCGGTACGATATGAGTTTTCTACGTCCCTCTGCGACTTACGTTCACGATGAAACGGCAAGACGAATTATGGAACAAAGTATATCGATGAATTCCAAGCGCAATTGAGAGAAAGGGATCATTCCAGGTGTATGTGATTAATCTGTATGCCTTTAGGAACAAAAAAAGCAAAGTATTAAGTATTCTCTAAGTGGCAGATCAAAATGGACGAAATTACGATTGATTATCTTCGGATCCAATCCTGGTCGGTCGGTTTACTGGTTTCATTTCGCACTTTACTCTGATCTGCGATTTAGAAAACGCCTTATATACATATGTTGTATTAGCACGATTCAAACATTAAAGCGTCCGCTGTCAATTAATCCTTATTTTAACCAACGTCGGTAACAATTTTACGAAGGCACAGCGAGCGCGTTAATTAAGAACAACTTCTGCGTATCGATAAGTGTAATTTGCAGTTAGTATAAAAATCTGTGTCTCGGATGGAAGAAATTGTTGGCTTAAAATTGAAAAGATCGAGATAGCATTCTTGAACGAACGTCCAATCTTGCATAAGGTAAGGAAGGAGGGGAAAAAAAAAACGAAAATTTTCTACCGTCACTTTCTGTTTGCGATAACGAAATAAAATGTCAATTGTACCAATCGAACGAAATAGCCGGAACTCGCAATTCTCTTCGATTTTTAGCCACAAGAATCTGGCCAGGGCAACGTTGACCGTGCTATTGGCCTTTTTAATCGTGCACATGTATATATACGCAGGAGGTAAGAAGAAGAATAGTATTTTTTATCGATTTAGCATTTACAGATTGTATTTAGGAGAGATTATCGATTATACCAAAGCCAGTATCTCTCACTTCAATGTTTTCTTAAGCAAAGAAGCTTTCGGGAGAATGAAGGAACAAAACGAACATGATTATTCTCTAGTAATTAACCGAGCAAAACAGCCACGTAAGTAATTGTATATGTCGAGTTAATGTTTAAAACTAACGTAAGTGAAAGAAACAGCCATAAGTTTGAGGTCACATATTACCGTGGTCTTATTTCCTTAAAAGTGAGAAAGCCATTGCACGTTGCAAACTCTTTCTCGATAAACTTTACTTCTATTCGGCCTCTTAACTTCACACTTTATGCCACTAAATTGTATCTGGCTGTAATTCGTAAGCAGGCGAATCTATCACGAGAATGTAGCCGTGTTGACCTCAAACTTATGCACACACATAGAGAGAAAGAGAGAAAAGATGAAGAAACGCGGGCTTGTACAATACGCGCCAGAGTATATTTTATATTCGCACGCGCTGGTGCGCGCCAATATTTTTTGTATCATATTAAAAAAAAAATAATCGAAAGGTCGATCGGTGGATGATTCGTATCCTTGGAACAGCACAAGACGAACGAGAGATTATTACCATACTGCACAAAAACAATTGCAACACAGGTTGCTCCAGAGTCAATAATGGGTGCTGTTTAAGAGCGTGACTTGTCGCTATCTTAATGAGTGTGTAGCGTGTCGAGTATTAAGACGTTTCGATGTCTTAAAAGAGAACGAAAGCCCATTAAGCCTTATATTTCGCAAAAACGCGATTTGTAACGAGCTATTTGTTACTCGTCGCTCTTTTCTTTCTCCTTTTTCGTGTTGGACAAGTCAAGAAGAAGTCGTAAATCATCGGACCCTGTCGATGTCAATGGATGTTACAGATTTCAAACGCTTCCGGTTCGTACATGAAAACACGAAGACACGAAATGAATTGTATATTAAGAGTATCGGACAGTACATATGTATGTACGTGTAACGATTAGAACTACGCAGGGCATAATAGTTAGCTAAGTTAGAAATGGTTTAAAGTAAGAGGAAAAAAAAAAAAAAAGAAAAAGAAATAAAAAAGAATATCGTCCACGTCCAGGAATTATTACGTGTATGTGTAATCGCAGTATTCTACTTTGCGCGTATAATGTCGAAACGAATCGGGTTGTATAACTTTATGAGATAGAACAGAAATTATAGTGTTACTGATACGTGTAAATTGCGTTTAACTTATTCAGCAAAGACGAGTTATTCCCCCTAATGCACCCGATAATTATTCGTTTTGTATGCAGAATGAAGTATCGCGAGAGAAAGAGACACGAAAGAAGAATCGTATTAAGCGGAAAGTATGTATAAAAAGAAAATAAGAGGAACAAAAATGGAAGAAGAGAATAAATAGCGAGATACGTAATATATTATATTGTACATGTAAAAATTGTGTATTCTCATATAATAGTAGTTGTAATAATTTAATAAATCTTGTATATCGCAAGTGGCCACAGTCTTCATTATATTTTTTATATTAATTAATTGAATTACCACAGCTCTAATAAAAATGTAAAAAGCCCTTGAAGTCGAAACTTTGATTTCGACGAGAAAGGAACAGTAGTAAGGAATACTTTTAACTTGCCTTGCTAATTAAATTCACTCTGTATATAAGGTACGTTTAAATACCAAGTTTGGTAAAACTTCGCAAGACAGACAGTTCTAAAATGAAACTTCACAGATTTGGAAAAGGTCTAAATTGGATCCGCTAAAATCGATGCATCTGTTTAAACATTCATCTCCCGCGGGGGTTTCGAATAATAAATGAAAACATACCAGAAGGGAAAGAAGGAAAAGCAGTGGAAAAAGTTATGACACATAAACGAGATAAACATGCAAAAATTATGCAATTCATATAGGAGAAAAGTTCACGTATTTTAGTTCTTTCTGTCGTTTTTTCCGTTACAGAAAAGTTCAAGGCTTTCCGAAGTTGCAATGATTTATATTTACTACGGGAAAAAAAGATTTCTATAATTGTCAAATACGACTACTTTATCGTAGGCACTCGATGAAGTTACAGAATCCCATTACGCTCGATGTCGCGATTTACTGACGAGTTGGTGGAGAAGAACTTTCTGCAAGAGAAATAAAAACACTCGAGATAATATTTTGTTTGGAAAGAAATTTAGAGGAACAACAATGAACGTAATAAGAAAAATCTAACTGAATGAACGATACGATAGACTGAGAAATTTTTGCGGCATTTAACGCGTTACAATTATTGCTACGATTATAATGTACGCAGAAAAATAGAATTTTCTTTTAAAAGTGAATTCAATTATAAGGTACTAACAGCTTTCATTAAAATATATTACGGTTTTTTGCTTCTAAAACTTGGATAAGATGAGAATCATTATCGATGGTAATTCCATCCCTTTCTTTTTATTCGAGGCGTGTTCGAACTTGCAATCTCGAAAAACAGAAAAGAAAAAGTCTTCGAAACTTGATAGAACTTTGGACAGTTTCGATTACACCAAGATACAGGATGGACGTGTTCGTGTTTCGTTTTAAATTAAATACGGAAGTTTTTAGAGTTTGCGGAAATGAGCACAGTAATTCCACGGTGGCTGGATTAGAATGATCCTTTTCATTCGGCTATATCGAGGCTCGATTTCGTTTATTTAGCGTCCACGTGGAATTCGAGTTTAAAACGAGCTGTTCGACGCAACAACGCATACAGTTTCAAGTTAATTTACATGTATTTTCAAGCTGGCGCGTTTCACTGAAAGTGCATTTGTCTTGTACAATATAATTTTCCAATTTATAAATTAAACGCCTTCGCTCATTCATTTAGTTCTGCAACATCAAAAAGCAATTGGAAAATTACATTTAGATGAAACTATATTGTCCTTTGTGATTAAAATGAAAATTTATATTTTTATGTATTCGGAAAAATGTACCATTCTTCTATTAGCCGTTTCACATTTGACTCTCGATTTTTCGAACTGAATACAGCACAATTTTACTTTTTATTTCGTTACACCAGCTATAACTTTTTAATTGAATAAAATTTTGTATTGAAATGGCATAAAAAGGTTCGTGGCTAGCGGTTAGTCTCTTAGAAAAAGAAACTAGAGGTTCGAACCTCACCGGCTGCAACTTGTAACATGTACCTAATACGGTACGACACCATCATTTATCAGCGTGAAAGAGCAGAAATTCTTGACGCGAATAATGAGTTGTGCAACAGTGCAAACGTGTTCGAATTCTGACGGGAATTTATTTTCACGTTTAACCGAGCTAAAATGCGGAATTCTGTGTTCCCCTCGTTACTCACGAACGACCGAACCAAGAGGCATTAAGTGTCCGATACATGATCAATTCTGGACATTTGATGTAAACGAAATGTTCGTTTCGATGTAGGAAACAATATATGCAAGTGAAATGTAAATGATACCTGATGACCAACCAAATGAAAAATAAGTTTCGCGTTCAATTTCGAGTTACAGATTCTACGGTGATCTTTTTAATTGAAATAAAACTAAAGGGTCATTTCAAGAGGGAGATTATTTAAGAAAGATCCTTAGATATAGGCATTTAATTATCAATGTCTTTCACGCAGGAGAAATTTGCAATTCGTCAAAGCCGTGTCGTGTATATAGGTTTAAAGAAAGAATAAGGAAAATGAGAAAGAAAAACGATTGTAATTAATTAAACAGACACTGTTCCAGTCTTACGGAAGGAATTCGTTATTTCATACGACAGTAGTTGAGAGAATTAACTTGAGGTAAAGGATAAATGTAATTTTTTAATGCGATATGGGAAGTTACGTTAAATAATGATTCTATAATATTGGATTTTGCAAATTTTACAATTATACGTTTTGAAGTAAAAAATCCTTCGAACGATCAACAGGACATAGCCCTGTGAATATATTGTACATAATCCACTTAGAGTTTTCCGTTGTAAAAATGAATCTTCTCGTATTTCTTTTCCTCCTTTATTCAAAGCGAAGATAAAGTCTCGCGTAATGTCCGGGTTCGATTCGATCCACGACGTTTTTTCTGACGTAATTCGTTTTTATCAGAAGATAGCGAACGTTGCGTTTCATCTTGTTCGTTATTTCTGGTATCTTCACCGACGTATTACAAACTGTATTAATTTCCAAGTTAGTTGAGAAAGGTTGAAATGTATTATTTGATGCTGGAAGGAATTTTCGATAGTCTAGTTATATTGGTTGTGCTGCACGAATATCCAGAGACGAATATCGTTTTCCAACTTAATATCAAACGTAATCCTGCCAAGAATGTCAATTCGTGAATTCGACGCGAGATTATCGACGATCGCGCGGTTACATTTTTCGATGTCATTTTTTTTCTTTTTTTACTAAAACTAATATAACAGATCGATAAAAACGAGGACGAAAATAAATTTGCTCCAAGTATATTCGATTTAAAAAATCTCCAAATGATTACGCGTACGATATTTTTCTTGCGATTTGTCTTGGTTGCAATCCAAATTTTTTGTCAAATTCGTCTTCGCAAAAGATTATTTTTTACAAGGAAAATATCATCTTACGGATGCCGAGAATTTTTATCAAAAGTACATAATTTTGAAAAAAGAAGAGAAATAGGAAAAGAAAGAATATTGTTGTCGGATGAAAGTACGAAGACTAAATCTAATTAAAATTAACATGCTTGAGAAGAAGACAACTGAGAGGATAAAGGGATGCGTTAAAAATATTATGGAAGCAAAATAAACGAAAGTTTTCGCAAAAAAAGTATTATAAAAAGTTGGAAACGAGCGAGAAAATAGAAAAATGCGACGATTAAAATCTGGTTAATCAAACATGTCTTTTACCTCCTTGTCCAGGAAAATTCGTGAAAAAAGCAACCTGTAGAGAGAAACTTTTTCCTCTTATCAACGTAAAAATGCAAAACTGCTTTCAACGGGGTGAAAAATCGAGTATTCTCGTAGTTTGTTCATTAATTAACAATGAATCTCCATCTCCTGATTCATGAAGTAACAACATTATTATCCGTCCACAGCATATTAAATGCGATTGCAATATCGATTGCAAACAGTATCTCATCGCAATTATTGTAATATAAATATTATGATAATCAGTTAATATATTGTGTTATTAATGTTAAATACGTACTCGTACTGTATTATTTGTGCGTTAATTCTCGCATATTACAAATAAAAATCGTTCGTACTAAAAATGACTTTTTGCATAAAACAAATATCGCACGTATACCTACGTATATTATGATACTAGTTCGATACCATTCATTCACCATATTTATAATAAATATTTTAGAAAGCAAACAAGCCTACGATATAAATTCTGATATACAGACATTTATCCATGATGATATTGCGAACCTTAGAGTGAAATATCCATTGAAGCTGAGCGAACAAGTTTTGGCGCGCATCCCGGTCCCTCTCTCTGTCTTTCTCCCACCCCAGGACGTAAGGCAACGCTACCTCCACCGAGTCGTCGCGCCTTCAGTATGATCCACGCGGCCAAACCTCGAGGATGCGTGTCTGGAAGAATATACATATTTTGACAGTAACCCTATCAAAAATATTACAATCGATATAAATTAATTCTCGTCGACTCTGTGACTGTAGGAATGCACCAAGTAATTATTGTTCCGTGTTCGTTTAATTTATATATAGTTACGTTCTTCAAAGTGAACTGATTTATGCCGATCGTCGATTCAAAATCACAAAAAAATTCTTCCAAGATTTTTGAAACATTTAAGGAAATTGATACGACTGTGTGAGAAATTTGAATGAATTTGTAATTTCGGGGTTTAAGTCGCGAAAGTTTAATGACGAATGTCCGCGTTCCCATCTCCCATTTCCTTTCGAAAATATTCGTGTTTCGAGAAACGATCCTTATTTCTCAGAAATGGGAACTCAAGGAAACTGATCTCGGCTTTTGAAATAGTTTTAGAAGCTACGAGATCGCGATTTGATTGATCCTTTATGCCGTTCTAAATCTTAATCTACGAGTAGTTTCTCTTATAAGGTTATACACGAGAGCACGAGTAAGCAACGAGTAATAATCGAGAAATATCGTTATA